TATATATATATATATATATATATATATATATATTTCACGCCGAAGGTATTGAGATCGACTGAACCCATTGATTGTATGTTATATCATCTAGTACTACTAGTTTTATTAGTTTAATTATATAAAAACAATTATAGTGCCAAAAAAATTAGGAATTTCAAAAGTGACAAACTTGAAAATTTTGAAAGATTAAAGATATATATATATATATAAAGTGCTACCAATAACCATGTGTTACCCAACTTTAGAAAGAAAAATAAAACAAGATAGATATAAGATTCAAATTTCTAAACTCACTTAGAGAGGTGCACCCAATCATCATTGCATTATATGATACTCTAGTGTGGGTTCACATAACTCTCTCTTGGAAAAAAACGAAAAGAAGATTACTCCATTGTCTCAGTGTTTTACATAAATCAAACACTATAAAGGAGGGTAAGCTGCAAATAACAACCAGACCATCAATTTCACTTCAAATAATTTTTCCGAGGTTTATGTTCCATGCAAAAAACAAAGAGCATGCAGCATCTCCAAACAGCATTCACAAAGCACTTTCTCCCCCTTCCTCCGCCCCCAAGGCTTACCCAAAATGAATCAAGAAGAAAAGATATAAAAGGATGATCCACATAATTGTAAATCAGCCTTTGAAACAGGGGATCAGACTCATAGAAACAATCCACTGAGATATAATCCTTGCCCAAAATATCAGTATCTTCCATCTAGTTTCCTCATGCACAATTAACTGATGATGGTTTAATGCAGTCAAGTTGAAACCAGTTTCTCTCACCATCCACATCATAGAAACAAACAAGCCATTTTGAACGGTATTTTCAGTCATGATCTTATGCATGGGAGATGATCAAAATATCAGCATGATGGCTTAGGGTCAAAAATCAGCAGAAAACACTCATAAAGTTTTAAAATTATAAATTAAAATGGAGAAAAAAAAACCTACTATCACCTGCTGCTACCTCTCATCGACAACAACAACAAAGCCAGTGAAATCCCACAAGATGGGGTATGGGGAGGGTAGAGTGTGCGCAAACCTTACCACTACCTCTTAGGAGTAGAGAGATTGTTTCCGAAATACCCCCAGCTCAAGCAAATCAAAGAAGAAATCAAAATAAAAACTTTTTGGAACTCTTAGTACTTAATGATGCCAAAAGACCTCTTATTAAATGCATAATACTGTATAAAATAGGATATTAAACTGACCACTCCTCTAGAACATATAACGGCCAACTGAATTTACTCATTCCCTCAACTTTCAAACAGATGATAAATTAGAGATGAATCCCCTCCATACCAATACTTATCATGGCCAAGTGCGATATGAACTTTAAAACACAGTATAAGTGACTAATCTAAAGTATATAAAACCTGATTTTAAGATAAAAAAACCATTATTTTTGACAGAATAGCTTCTCCCAAAAACCATCTTAACAAAAATGAATCTACGGTGCACTGATATAACTCAAGGGGAACTAAAGAAGTATGTGCAGCAGAAGGATTAGTCTTACAGAATATGCTGGTATCCATGAAGGTTTCCGTAAACAACGTAAGTTAGCCAAATCATTGAAGTCATCCCTACACTCGGGAAGAAGATAAATTATGTAAGATAATAGTAAGCAGATCATCCTTTAGAATACTGAACTAGAAATGTCTTTTACTCACAACCAAGGTGGAGGAGGACAATGAATATGTGTGACTTTCATACTATGGACATCCAAAACACCTGACCTGTAAAAAAAAAAAAAGGAGACTTACAAACAACTAAGGAGTAGTATATGTATTAGTAGTAAAACAAGTCAGCACCAACACTTTGGTAGTATGTCACAATTAGTTACAAATAAATAGCTAATAATCAGTACTTAGCAATAAATATCACACACGAGTATACATTGACAGACAGGAGAAAGTGGTGATTGCTCTTTGATTTCATCCGCTTGCTCTCACACTTCAGTGTGTGCATTCGAGACATGTATGAAATATCTGTGGCTGCTTGATGCCAAAGGTACAAAGGTACCACAACGTCAATTAGCATAAGCGTGTAATATTAACTTCAGCAATCCAAAATAAAACACCCAACATAGGACCTACTTTCATGCAGGAATAATCAGAAAAAACATAACGACAAAGCCTTGGAAGCATGCTAAGTGTATGGGTCACGTGAAAATCTTTGATCATGATTCATGACTCGGTGAGTTCCCTACTCCACCTCAAGTTTGAAATAATCTTATTGACACCACCATTACGTAACAAGAGTTCTACCAAAAATATTCCAGTACCTTCTCTGTTACACAAAAGTAAGTATGTGAATGACCTGACATCAATAGAACGCATTCCAATAATAACAGAGAAAAGCCACCTAATAAGCAACGCATAATTCAGCACACTGGGCGTAAAAATGCATCAAGAAGTAAAATGAAAGAATGTCTATGCATTTCCTTTCCAACTTACCAACCATCGTCAAGATGAAATGCCAATTGATTTTGACAAGATGGATTTATGTCAATGGAGTGTATTTCCTTCGATACTATATTTGACTGAGCCTGCAAAATGAAATCTTGAATAAGATAGAAATAGCAAATGTATGTAAATTATGAGAATAACTATAGATAATGTGAAAACGGAAGAGAAGATGAGAGGAACTCGGCTTGATTATTCCCTCAAGCTATTGTGGTTTAAATAACTATGTTCAAAGGTCTTAAAAAGGAAAGGAAATCAATACCTAATTACAAATCACAACGATTCTAACTCTCCCCTTCAAGTTGGTGCATACAAATTTTATGTACCAAGCTTGCCACATATATAACTCGTCTTGGGACGGCTAGGGACTTTGTGAATATGTTGTAAGCTGATCATTTGACCGCACAAACCTTCTGACAAAAATTACAACCAATCTTTGTGTTTGTTTCTCTTGTGAAACACTGGACTTGATGCAATATAAAGTGCAACTTCATTATCGCACACAAGTTTCATTTCCTTAATCTCTCCAAATTTCAACTCCTTCAATAGTTGCTTGATCTGTCGCCACTACCATAGCATGATATTTTGTTTGTGCACAGATTTAGCAACAACATGTTGTTTCTTACTTTTCCAAGATACCAAATTTTTCCCAACTAGAACATAGTATCCAGAAGTGGATCATCCATTAGGGTATGACCCTACTAGTCTGATATCCAACAATTTTCTCATGTCCTTGGTCTTTGTAAAGTATTCCTTTACCTAGAGCAGATTTTAAGTATCAAAGAATGCAATTAACTGGAGATGACTCTCACAAAGAGAATCCAAGAATTGACTTACAACACTAACCAGGAAGCCAATATCAGGTTGAGTCACAGTGAGATAGTTCAACTTTCCTACCAGCCTCCTATATCTCACAGGATCATTGATGGGCTCTCTGACCAAGTAGGAGCTTAATATTTGGATTTGATGAAGTATCAATAGGCCTACAATTTGCCGTCCCTATTTACTCAATAATACCAAGTACGTACTCCATGAAATGGCAATTGAACTGCAATTCCTAATTTGGATTGAGTAACCCCAATGCCCAAGAAGTACCTCAATCGACCAAGATCCTTAGTCTAAAAGTGTTGAAAAAGGTGATGTTTCAATTTGGTAATTCCCTCGTCACTGTTACCCGTGATGACTATGTCATCAATGTAAACCACTAAGTGCATGCATGAAATTGGGGAAAAGTGACGATAAAACACAAATGATCAGCTTCACTTCATACCATACCATGTCAAATGCCTTAATAGCCATGCTTAACTTCTCAAACCATGCTCGAGGAGACTGATTCAGACCATAAAGTGCTTGTCATAGTCTGCACACCATGTTACTAGACTCCCACTGAGCAACGAAACCAGGTGGTTGCTCCATATATACCTTATATTCAAGTCTATTGATGATTTCTTAATTACCGTGTAAAATAGTAAAGTTGATCAATCTATTAATGATTTCTTAATTACCGTGTAAAATAAAAGTGTCCATCTAATATTGGATGGAGGGAGTATAAGTCACCATGATTGATAATTTAAAATATTTAAAAATAGACTTGTTTGAATCGTGAAATCTGGAAGGTACCCCATGAATTGAGACGCAGGAGTATCTTTTAGGTATTTAAATACATTGTGTAATTGACCACTGGTATTTCCTCTCAAACAATGGCTAACACTAGGATTTTACCCCATCTATGTTTTTCCTTTTCATTTCATTAATTAGCTGCAATATTTTTGTCAGAGTCCATCAAAAGTTGCAATGGAATTAGCTAAAAAATTTATACAAAGTATTGTGTGCACGGAATAAGAGTATGCAACACTCTTTCCACTTCCAAGAAATTACAGTAAGTATGATTAGACCTCTCATGCTTAGATGAAAATAAAGTTGATCATACTCTAATTTTAATTGCATCAGTAAATTATTTTGGTTTTCGCATTACCTTTCACATTATATTTAACCCTCTAGTATTCTTATTTTGTCTTGCCTTGTGAATAGCTTTAAAAAATGCATAATTTAAAATAAATAAATAGTTCAAAATTTAAGAAAATTTTGGACTTCGTTTTCATATTTATGTTCTTAACTATTATTGTCTTAGAGCCCGTTTGGCAATACGATATGAAATGATGAGATGAAGTTGAAGTTTTGTTTGGACATGCAATTTGAACTTTTTATGTTGAATGTTTTCTCATAAACATAAAAACTCCATAAGTTGTCAAACTATTAAAATTGTCCCAATTCTTTGTACATCTTACAAAATAAGCAAAAGTTTATAAAATCGCACAATACACAATCACAAAGTTATTCTAAAAAAAAATATTGATCAAACTTTAACTTAATAAAAGGATAAAATTGAACATAAGTTGTATTGTACTAGTCTTTAATATAATCCTCTCACATAATACGGACAATCTTCTCACGTTGAACTTGCATTTCACAAGACACAACAAGACAAAATAAGAACACAAGAGGGTTAAATATAATGGGAAAACCAAAAAAATTAATTTACTAATGCAACTAAAATTAAAGTATGGTCAGCTTTATTTTTCATCTAACGCATGACAGGTCTGATCATATTTTCATATTTACTGTAATTTCTTGAAAGTGGAAAGAGTGTTACATACTCTTATTTTGTGCACACAATACTTAGTTTGTATAATATTATTAGTTAATTCCATTGCAACTTTAGATGGATGCTGACAGAAATATTGCAGCTAATGAATGAAATGAAAAAGAAAAACAAAGATGGGCTAAAATCCTATTGTTAGCCATTGTTTGAGAGGAAATACAAGTGGTCAATTACACAATGTATTTACATACCTTAAAGATACTCCCTTCGTCTCAATTTATGTGGCACCTTCCGGATTTTGAGATTCAACCAAATCTATTTTTGACCAAAATTTTTTGTATATCTTTTAAATATTTTAAATTGTCAATCATGGTGACTTATACTCCCTCCGTCCCATATTAGATGGACACATTTTATTGTACATGGTAATGAAGAAATCATTAATAGACTGATCAACTTCATAATTAAAACCCTCTCATTCACTCCTAAATTTATACGCTCAAGAACTTCAAAAAAAAAAACACTCAAGGCTTCAAGAAGCAAGCTCTAAGGTGCATTCTCAAGGTCTCTTTCCTACGTTCTTCATCAAAAGGTATGTTTGAACATTCCCCATATCTCAAACTACTCATACAAGGTTCATTTCTATTATTCGTATTTTCTAAAATACAAATTGAGGTTAAGGTTGAGAGATGCTTTCATGAAAATTGATTACAAATGTTCCTCTCTTGTTAATTGTGTTCAAATTACTTTATTATGATTTCGGAACTTGGATTGTTCGTTTTGAATGGGTGAATTGCCTCCTATGATTTTGAAAAAAGTTTTTTGGTATCAATAACAGATTTGAGAATTTGTGAGATTTTCAAAAGCTTTGGTTTAAAATGACGAACAAAGGGAATTTCCCATCCCGGTTAAATGTTAATGATATTGCATTTTTATGTTGACTTATAACTTGGAAAGACTTGAATGATGGCATTGAACGGAATGCTTTAACATAAATGAGTCTTTGATTTTCAAACAATGAGTTAAGAGCTTTAAATGGTAAATTATACATTCAGCATGGTTATTATGGCTTGCAAGTGTTGGTATGACGATACTAATGGAAATATACCTTATTTGGATAACTTTAAATAAACGAAAACTTGTAAAGGTTTTAATGGGGGCTTAAAAAGAGTTTGGTAGTATCACCGACAAGGTGTAAGGTCCTCGTGGCTCATCACTCGAATCCGCATTTGCTGACGTGAAAGGTCCTTGTCCTAAAATAGGGTTGACCATTGTATGTTGTTAATTGGAGCAGCCTCTAGTCTTTTCTTTGGCGAAAATTGGTTTGTCAGATTCTTATATTTCTCAAGTCATGCAGCATACATGGATTGGGGCACTGGTCGGGGGGAGGCCGAACCCATAAAGCCCATGGGTCGCTTTTATGTTGTTGAACACTACCCTACTCAAGATTAATGGTTTTCGAAAGGTCGATGTCTAAATGCTTTGGGTCTGCACTTATGATTTTGTCTTTCCTTTATGATTATATTGTATGAATATATATTGTTTGTCTTTTCCCCCGGATTGTATACCAGTACTGACCGTCCTCAGCCGCTACATCGTTTCATGATGTAGGATCATTCATGGTTTCGGGCAATAGTAGATCATTCAAAGACAACAGTTAGCGTTGTGGTGAGCTTTCCATCTTCCGAAAAGCGGACTTCTCTTTTATCCGTCTTTCCTCTGGTTTTCATGGTATTATCGAGGGCCATGTCCCGACGTAGATATTGTTATTATGTTAGTAGATATTTCGTAGACCTATGGTTAGTTGGAATTGGTTATCTTATTAAGAGTCAAATTGGTTTTCCTCTTTGAATTCTTTTGAATATTAATTGTAATGGGCCTCCTTTTCTGCATTGGTATTTGTATTGGATTATCCAGGTTAAGTAGGTTGGTTGGTGCTCTCGGGCCTAATTGAGTTCCGAGTGCCATGTCACGTCTAGGGTGGGGTCTCGGGACGTGACATAAGAATATCGGGAAAATTGATAATTAGGATTATCTGTACTCAAACATGCAAAATACTAGCTTCAATGCCCTACTCGGCATGTTAATAAGTATACCAAGAAGAATCAAAAAATAGAATATATTGGGGAATGGAAAGACTAGATGATGTCACTATAGTTATTACTGTAGAATAAGATAATGGCTACCTAACATGAGTTACAAGTAAACATACCTTCAAAGAAGCAATTCTCTCTAGCTCAGATGCCAATTTAATTGCTGTCATAGGAGAATAACTTACCTGAAAACACAAAAGCTCTCTATTATACGCAATTAAGAATTTTACCAAAGTCATTGGGAATCAAAGATCACTTACTTTCTCATGTTCTACTTATTGATGGCGTAAATACAATTCACATGATATCAATAACCAAAGATCCTTTTTTTCACTTTCGATCGACTAAAGTTATTAATATTTTTTATCGTAACAATAGTGAAATAAGAGATTTCATTATATATTTTCTCAAAGCCTCAAATACAAAAGACACAAGAACTCACAATGGAAGAGAAAACAGGAGCAGTTCAAAAAAAATTTTGAGAATGGTAACTTAGGAGCAGTTCAAATTTACTAGTCAACTATTAAATCTGACATGGACAACAAAGCAACAAACTATTTTCCTATATGTTGCATCATGATTGGAAGCCTAGAATAAAGAAACACACATAATATTAATACCACTCTGTTATTCTGGAAAGCTGCAGACGATCTTCCACCACGAATATCCCACATGTAAATAGTTCCCTGCTTGCTAGCTCCAAATATAACCTACTATTTGGAAAAAAGAAAATTTACAAATGGAAGTTGTTGATAGCTTTCAAAAAGAATCCATCTTAGTCGTAACCTGATCATCTGCATTCAATTTGATACTGTTAAGAGGACTATTAGAATTGGTTGCTAGCTCAAGACATGGAAGATCACTGGCTCTTCTATCCCATATATTTATAACACCAGAGACATCAGAAGCAAGTAACCTGTTGAAGCAAGCATATCACTATTCATTAGGGCCTAGAACAAAATATGGAAGTTATGGAACTACAAACCTTAAACTCCATTTTATAATTATAAATGAAATCAGAAAAGATAAACTATAAACATGTTACAAAAATATAATTTAAGGTTGCAACTTATAAAAAAATATGTAGAATAAACACAAAAATGATTATTTAGAAAACTTAGTCTAACAAGAAATGTGACAATGAATATTGGATGGAGGGAGAATAGGTTTTCTCTCTAGGGACACGTTAGGTGCCTGTAACTTGCACACCTCCCCAATGGCACGGGAATGACCGAAGAAAACCACCAACAAATTGCCAGCAACAAATGGAAAATGTCAGCAGAAGGAGCACCCAGTGACACAGGATCCTGGTACAGGCAAGTTGAAATAAACCATGAAGAATCAGGATAAATTTGATGACGAAGAGCTTCAATGGCCATATTTACCGAGTAGCAGCACAATCTGGAAAACATCATGTAATGACCCTAAAGGCCATTTTTGGAAATTTTCAGAAAATTACCATTTAACCCCTCCCGATAGTGAACCCGGTTTTTGGGTCGTGACACGTCACCATCTCTAATTGTGAACAAGGTGCAAGTACAAAACAGATAGATGACCCTACTACCACACCAGTGAATTTGACGGGATCAACCAATGGAATAGTACCAATGGAGCCAACCTAGGTCTCTTCACCCCCTAAGGTTGACCCGAAACCTGACGAGACTGTGAAACTATGGGGATTCTACATGAGATGCTAATGAGGGGACTTGGGCTGGTTTGGTAGTGGGCAACAAACTTGCTTCAAAAGGTATGAATCTCTCATACGTTTCACCAGTGATCGAAGAAGGTGGAATCATAGTCCATCTACTGAAGGAGGATCTTGAAGGTGGGAATCAGCAACGGGACAAAGATCTCATACTATATGTGGTAGGTAATACACCAACAATTGGATCAGTAGAAAAGTTAATTGCTATGCAGTGGAACTTTGTGTCGATAAGGTATTGTACAACACTGATGGCTATTTTGTGATTCATTTTAGTAGTACCAAAGAGAGGTCATTTTCTCTGGACCTTACACACTGAATAATAGACCAATGATCATAAAGGCCTGGACAGTTGAGTTTGACTTCATTGAGGAAGTCTTAAAGGCCATTCCTCTGTGGATGAAGCTTCCTAATCTTCCCCTAAACGGCTGGAGCAAGGAGGCACTTAGCAGGATAGGGAGTGGCTTGGGGAGGCCACTTTGTGAAAATGAAAGTACAATTAAGGCTGAGAGGATCTCTTATGCCCGGATGCTAGTTGAGAAGGATGTAACTAGGACTTTGCCCAGCTCTATTAATGTGGGTGATCCTACTGGGAAGGAAGTGGATCAAACTGTGCTTTATGATTGGAGGCCACTGCACTGTCCAATATGCTGCCAAATAGGCCACTCTTGCCCTGCAATGAGAATGAAGAAAGATGCTGTGCAGGCTGCAGACCAATAGGAAAAAAAGTAAGGGGTCTAATAGAAGCAGGAATGAAAGGTGAACAGGGTTTTAGATCCTAGCACAGATGATAATATTGATACCCAGGTAAGACTTAAGAGTCGGTTGCTTACTGATGGAACTTATAGTAGTATAGTAACTGCTAATACATCTATCTCTACTGAAGTACTTGAAGGGGGCAAACAGTGAAAGGCAAATCAACTGCTAAGCAAGTGGTGTTCCACAGTGGCAGGGAATGGGGAGCCCAAATGCTTTCATTGTCCTTGGTGATACTCGTACTTCTACTTCCCAAGCCAGACTGGAGTTAAGGGGTGGAGTGATGAAGCACCTGACCCCCCC